GGCAGCCCAGTGCAGGTGGCAGAGTCAAATGTGGGTGAAAAGGGCATCCTCGCATAGTGGTTGGTGGAGCTTGGCATGGGCTATTAGAACCCAAGAGGATAGAGAAGATATCTATGTGGAAGCTGGAAGCAGTGAGGGCCCAAGGCAGGGTATCAGAACCTGAGCAAGGTGCGGGGTAAGGAGTGTCCAAATGCCTAACAAGGCCCCTTAAGGAGAGGTGAGGGGTTCTGAGCAGCAGCACTACATGGGTTATCAGAACCAAAGGAGGTGAGAAAGGCATGCATATGGAGGTTGGGTGACAGCAATATCCCATGTCAGTGTCAGAACCTGAGCAGGGAAGTGAGAAGATTCAAGCAGGGGAATGGCAATGTCAGTATTCCAACACAGGATGTGATCAGGTCTTTTTTAAGAAGAAGAAGGAAGAGGAGGAGAAGGAGGAGGAGGAGAGGAAAGAGGAAGAAGGGGAGAGGGGAAGGAAAAGAGGGAGGGGGAAGGAGATAATGAGGAGAAGGGGGAAGAAAAGATAAAATATATTAATAATAAATTTTCAATAAATACATATTTATCAATAATTATTTTAAGCGCTAATGGATTAAATGCTCCAATCAAAAGATATATAGAGGCTAAATGTACTAGAATCTACATATATAAAAGCCTAAGTGACTGAACTACCAGTTGGCCAGTCATTGTGAAGTACACTGACCACCAATGGACAGATGCTCAACACACAGTATCGGGCTCCCTCCTGTCTGGATCAGGCCTGCAGGGATTGGGCTACCTCTTGTATGGATCAGGGCTGCGGGGATTGGCCCAACACCGGCTATCTGACATACCCTGAGGGTCCCAGATTGCGAGAGGGCACAGGCCAAGCTGAGGGACCCCCCAGGGCACAAATCCATAACAAAATAATACCCTTACACATGCTGTCTTCAAGAGACTCACTTCAGATCAAAAGATACACACAGACTGAAAGCAAAGGCATGGGAAAATATATTTTATGAAAATGGAAACAAACAAATAAAAAGCTGGCACAGCAATACTTACACCAGACAAAATAGACTTTAAAGCAAACAGGAGACAAAGGAGGACCCAGCAACTCCATTTATCCAAAAGAAGCCCAAAACACTAAATAAAAAGAACATATTTATTCATATGTTCATTGCAGCATTACTTACAATTACCAATAAGCAACCTAAGTTTCCATCAATAGATTAATGGATAGAGTACATGCCCTAACTGGTTTGGCTCAGTCAATAGAGCATTGGCCTGCAGACACCAAGTTCAATTCTGGTGAAGGGCATGTAACTTGCTTTCGGGCATATCCCCAGTAGGGGGTGTGCAGGAGGCAGCTGATTGATGTTCCTCTCACATCCATGTTTCTAACTCTCTATCCCTTTCCCTTCCTCTCTGTAATAAATCAATAAAATATTTTTTAAAAGAAGTGGTACATATATACATTAGAGGCATAAAAAATAATGAAATCTTGCCATCTGCAACAACATGCATGAACATAGCGGGTATTGTGCTGAGTGAAATGAGTCAGACAGAGGAAGACAAATACTGTAAGACTTCATTTATATGTGGAATCTAAATAAAAAAAAATAAACAGACAAGCAAAACAGAATCATAAGGACAGAGAATATCTTGATGGCTGCCAGATGGCAATGAGGTTGGGAGGAAGGGTGGAAAATGGTAAAGGAAAGAAGTACAAATATGGGGATGTAAAGTACAATACAGGGAATATAGTCAATAATACTGCAATAATACTACGTATGGTGTCAGATGGATACTAGATTTATACAACATAAGTTATATAATGTTTAATCACTAGGTTGTACACCTGAAACTAATATAATATTGTATGTCAACTTCAATTTAAAAATAAAAAATAAACAGGACCAAGCCAGTTTGGCTCAGTGGATAGAGGGTCAGCTTGTGAACTGAATGGTCCTGGGTTTGATTCCAGTCAAGGGCATATGACCGGGTTGCGGGCTCAATCCCCAGTAGGGGGCTTGCAAGAGGCAGTAAATCAGTGACTCTCTCTTGTCAATGATGTTTCTGTCTCTCTCCCCCTCTCCCTTCCTCTCTGAAATCAATATATATATATATATATATATATATATATATACACACACACACACACATATTTTAAAAAGGTGCTTTGGATTGTTATTGCTATTTTAAAAAATATTTAAAGTAAAAAAAAATAAAGAAAATAAAAAGAGCATTTTTACACACCAGCAATAAAGTATTAGAACATTTTAAAAATTCAATTCACAACTTGGCCTGGTATCTCAGCTGGTTAGAGCATCATCCTGATATGCCAAGGTTGTAGGTTTGATCAGGGTCAGGGCATATACAAGAATCAACCAATGAATGCATAGATAAGTAGAACAAAAAATTAATTTCTCTCTCTCTCTCATCAATAAATGTTTAAAAATTCAATTCACAATGGCATCAAAATTTTTTAAATACCCATGAATGAATCTAATAAGTTTCTTTTACAGAGAAAAACATAAAATGGACATATTAATTTTAAAATGTTGTAGTACTAATTTTGTGATGAATAAGCTGAACATTGAAATACTGGAAACTGAGAAATAAACCTTTATATGAAATCTTAATATATTACATATCAGTAGGAAAAGGATGAATATTTTTGGCTGCAAATAACAGAGAACTAAAATGGCAAAAACAATGAGAAGAATTATCATCTCATAAAATCAAGTCTTTTGAGGTTAGGCTCAAGTATCATTAAGGATTCAGGTTCTGTTTTGTCTTCCTCAGGATATCAGTAAGCTCTTCATTATCACAAAATGCTCAGTGTCACAAACATACATCAAGAGAATTATAAAGGAGTTTGTATCTTCATTATGTATCCATTAGGGCAAAAGAAAATCTTTCCTAGAATTACCTTCAGCAAACTTCCCTCTACTTCTCTTTAGCAAGACCGGCTAAACCAATCACTAAGTGAGAAATGAGAATACCAATATAGCCCGAGACCAATTAGGATTTGCCTAAATCATGTGGGAACAGAATAGACATGGAACAAAACTGGTGTTTTGCCACCAAAAGAAAGAAAAATGACTGTTGGGTAAGTAATCAACAGTACAATGGGATATTTCATAAATGGTGCAGGGGAAACAGACTATCCAAATGGAAGAAAAGAAAATTAGATCCTAATAATATCATAAACAAAATTAAGTTCCAGGTGGATTAAAAACTCAAATGTCAAAAGTAAAGATTAATTTTTAGTAGAAAATATATTTAGAAATTAGAGGTAAAAAGGATTTCTAATATGAAATACAAATAAGCACCAACCATAAAGGATAATATTAATGAACTAGACTAAATAAAAATTTAAAACTTTCATACAATAAAATACACAGGAGTTAAAGTTAAAAGATAAAACTTAGTCTGGGAGAAGTATTTGCATGATGTAAAACAGTTTTTGCTTTTACCCAATAGAGAGGGGAAAAATGGGCAAAGTTTAAGCAATTGATAGAAGAAAAAAATTGAATACCCAATAAATATTATAAAACTTCATAGTAGTCAGAAAATCGCAAATTTATAATATACAAAGAGATAGCTCTGACCCACTAAAAAAAATATTTAATAATCCTGAGTACTGGATACTATGTGGGGGAAAAACTGTCATCCATTCCTAGCAGAAGGGTCAACTAGTTCAACTTCTTTGGTGATCTATTTGATGATAGTTAGCAAACTCAACAACATGCATGGTCAACAATCTAACAATCCATTCCAAGGTATATATCCTAGAGAACTCTTTTACATGTGTATCCAAGGGCCTATTTAGGATATTCATCTCATGCATCTCTCTCTCTCTCTCTCTCTCTCTCTCTCTCTCTCTCTCTCTCTCTCTCTCTCTCTCTCTCACTCTCTCACACACACACACACACACACACACACACCCGGAACAGCCTCACTATACATCAATATGAATTGGATAAATTGTTGTATATCTTTACAATCAAATAGTATGGTATAGTTTAAACAAATAAACTAGACCTAGACGTGTCAATGTGGATTATCTTAAAAACAGAATGTTGAAAAAGCAGGTTGTTTACGAATATTGATAGTGCGGTGTCACTTACATAAAAAAATAAAGCCCATAACATTAATCTGTATTATTTATGAAAAACAAATATATAATTAAAATAAAGAAACAAATAACACAGCTTATGATTACTTCTGGGAAAGGAACAAGGAGAATCAGGGAATGCCAAGGAAGGGTATGGTATCAGGAAATACATAGATACTTGTCATATTATTCTATGTAAGTTTGAAATACTTTACAATTGTTAAAAATACATCTTTTTACAAAAGTCTTCCATTAAAATATTTCATCGATCATGAAAAGATCCTACCCCACATACAAGTGGAGTTTACCTCCCTTCATCTTTTATTAAGAACCTTTTTAAAAATATATATATTTTATTGATTTTTTTACAGAGAGGAAGAGAGAGGGATAGAGAGTTAGAAACATCGATGAGAGAGAATCATCAATCAGCTGCCTCTTGCACACCCCCTACTGGGGATATGCCCACAACCAAGGTACATGCCCTTGACCGGAATAGAACCCGGGACACTCTATCCACTGTGCCTAACCGATTTCGGCTTAAGCGCCTTTTTAAACCACACCCTCTTCTACAGGAAAGATAGTAAGAACTGAATAAAGATGCCATGAAGATCAAGAAAGGTCCAAGTGGAATCAAACTGAAAAGGGGTTTACAAAGGTTAGTCAAATGCTCAAGAAACATTCTTAGTATTGAGTGGGAAGCCAAAGATGTCAAAATAAGTAAAAAGTGTCTGGAAAAAGTTTCTATGTAGATTTTAATTTGATGTTCCAAGGAGAATATGATAGAGGGCATATGTCGACAATATGATTTATTACCAAGACTACAATAAATATCAGTGTTTTTCTCTGGATGTGAAAATTTTAATTACTACTATCCTAAGAAGCTCCCACAGCAACATACCTGGAGAAGGAGCCTCTCAAAAGCCAGAAAGTTGTCCCACTTGGCAGTCTGCGGATGCTTCAGAGTTTGAACCGTGGCCAGCCCAAGCTGCAGGAGTCCACAGTGACTCACTAGAGCTTTGAGGTTGTTCTTGAAGAGCTGAATATAGGATGTGAGCTGCGCCGGAGTGACTCTCCCTGGAGAAACATAATAATTTATCAGTGACCCCTCTTCGGGGAGTGGTAAAAATAATGAGAAGAGTGCCATTAATAACATTAACTGCCTTATATTGGCACAGAGCTTCAGAGTTGACTGCAAGCTTTGCTAAGCTGTTATGATTCTTACAACAACATGGTGACAACAGTGAAATTGAAATTATTACCTGCATCTTACAAGTGAGGAAACAGATGTTAGGTGATCTGGATTGCTAGTAGAATTCATTTTCTAATTCTGTAATACCCCGTAAATACGTTCTCAGATAAAGTCACACAAATAGTTGAGCTCAACATGAAGTACCTCTCTCTAAGACATAAGAGTTAGCAATCTAAGAAGCCAAAAGGCAAAATTTCTAATTATGTGTGTATGTACAGAAAATAAAAGGAGAAATATGTTATGACTATAGCTAAAAATGTATCACTGGTATCAGTGGGTTATGATATTCGATAATAAAACAGTAAAAGGTGACTATTACACAAAATAAAAATGTGTGGAAAACCAGAGTGGCAAAAACAGCAGAAGATAAGATACCAGAAGAAACAGTTTGGTATGGGTGACAAAGCACATTTGCTACAACGATCACCTAGGTTTGGTATACGAAAACCCACATCATAAAAAACTATGATGAGCTTGTACAAAAAACAAAAACAAATAAACAAAGCGCATGTTGAAGATTCACTCCTTCAGAGCCTCTAAGTTCCACTTTTCCTATAGCAGTCCTTCAACTGAGTCACTTTCCACTCTCCAATCCATCAAATTCAATTTCTGCCATGAACCAGTGCTGAGCACAAAACTCCTAAACACCACATATTCTCCCCATTGGGCAAAGAGAAGGCAACTGGGCCAAACACAGATACAAGTCAAGTAAATATTTCCTAAACATCTTACCTATGCCATTTGTTGGTTGCTCTCCGAGGCCCAAAATCCAAGTTTGTTTGTTATGCTGAGGTTTGTTAATACCTGGCAATGAAACCACCTGTCTTGATTTAGCACTTGGTAGTTTACACAGAGCAATCATGCCCTCTTTGGATTCTCATAGCAACTCTATGAGGTAGCACACGGCATGTGCTGCATCACTTAGCCCAGCTGAGGCCCTGTGGGTTCATTGCCTTACACAGTGCGAAATGGCAGGTTAATAAACGGTTTTTCACTTAATCACTTAATAAACGGTTTTTGCTACTCATGATACACAAAATATAAAAACCTTGACAGAAGAAATTTATAAGCCTGAGACATACGCTTTCTTTTCATTACATTTTTTTTTTAAGAGATTAAGAATTTTGAAGCTCCTTCTTACCAGTTTATCAGGGTAAGCAATCTAAAGAATAATAACAGTAGGAATGATAAGTAGGGAGTTGAGTCCCACTAGTTTCTTTGATCCCTCGGTAAAGCATGAGTTCATTCCTGATTCTCAATGCAGCAAGCTAATGATTTGCTCACTTAATTACAATAGAGAACAGCCTCATGAATTCTGGTTTTGAGTCAGGTTTATTAAGGTATAATTTTCACATAAAACTGGTTCAAATTTAAGATCACTGGGAGCTCCATTTGTATATCATTGTACTGCAGGTGATGGCAGTGTGGTTCCTGGACACAGAGTTTTGCCTATCAAGAGAGAGATTCATAAAATAATTATAAAAATAAGTATTTAATCTTTATTATGATAAGTACTGCTAAGGAAAAAATTCCAAATGTCTTGAAAGTGTGAATGGCTCTGTCTGACACAAAACTCCCTACCTCTCCAATGCTATCTCCTGAAGGAGCAAGAATTAGGCTCAAAATACATGCACTCTATTCATAGTATAATTGTCTATGAATTAGAGAGACTGCAAGAAATGGAAATCAGGACGAAACCAGTTTGGCTCAGTGGATAGAGCATCGGCCTGCGGAATGAAAGGTCCCGGGTTCGATTCCGGTCAAGAGCATGTACCTTGGTTGCAGGCACATCTCCAGTGGGGGGGGGGTGCAGGAGGCAGCTGATCTATGATTCTCTCTCATCGATGTTTCTAACTTTCTATCCCTCTCTGTAAAAAAATCAATAAAATATTTTTTTTAAAAGAAATGGAAATCATCAGAAATAGTCATGAAAGGGTCTGTTTAGATTTTGATTGTAATAATCATATGCTCAGTTTAAAGTTAAGAATGTCTTTGATTCAAAAATATAGTTGAACTTTTTATTCAGTTAGCAATTCCTAGCTCAGACTCAGACCCAGTCACCATATTTACCTAATGCCATCTTCCCAAAGGAGCAAATGGTTATCTATATACATAAAAGCCAAATAATGACCAGTCAACCAGTCTCTATGACAAACACTGACCACCAGAGGACAGATGCTCAATGCAGGAGTTGCCACTTGGTGGTCAGTGCACGCCCTCAGCCAACCTCCCACTGACCCTCCTCGCTGGCCAGCCAACGTCCCACATTCCCTACTCCCAGCCGGCTGGCCCCGAACCTTCCACGGTCCTCCTCCCTCCCCTCCCCCCAGACTGGGTGAGACGGCCCCAATGGCCCTGATCACCCAGATCACCAGCCAGGCTGAGGGATCCCACCCGTGCACAAATCATGCACCGGGCCTCTAGTAATTCATAAAGGAAATGCCAATAGAACACTACATTCTGAATTTATTCACCTTGCTCTATTCTGTTCCCCTCTGTATATCCCTTTCTTACACACACAAGCCATTAACACTTCATAAGATACATCATGAAAGCAGACTTTTTGGTAAAAATCCATAATGTGCTAATTATAATTTAGTAAAAGAGTGCCACACACAAAAGCTTTAAAATACAGGCTAGTACAATATAGGCTAGTAACCTTTTCAAAATCTTGAACTCAATCACAGCCTTATACAAAACAAGTTGAAATCAACTCACTGACACAAAAAATGCTGTAATGAAATTAATGACTTGAGAAAGCGCCTCAGTCTGTGTCAACTAAAACAGCAAGCAACTAGAACCAGGTGTTGAAAAAGCCATAGACAGAACATTTATTCATACCTCACATTACAAAAAAAAAAACAAAAAACACCACTTGTCAGGCAGATTTACATGGTGATTTTAAAATGTCAACTCAGAAGGCTTTGGAAAAAGTTTTTTAAAACCATAGAAACAAGGGCTATTTTATATCAAGACTTCATAACATATAGCAACTTTGTGAAAACTGACCATTTGAAATCTGAAAATGGTCTTCAAGTAAGAAAAGCTATTAGGCTTTATTTTTCTTTTTGATAGAGTTTCTAAGAAAGAGAAACAGGTTTCCGATTTCAACTTAGCTAGAAGAAAAACACATAACTTTATTAACTACCAATTGTATACTCATATTTTTTAAAACTCATTAAAATATAATTAACTTTTGGGGGAAAGGGGGTAGATTTGGAAAACAAAATAATTTAATATAGTCTGTGATTCTTTAAAAATTAAATTGAATTGAATTCAAATGCATAATGGAGCCTATTTTTCTACTTGCTAGAGTCACTCAATAAATTATAACTCTCAAGTTGTTTTGTGACTTGTTCAAATATATTGCAAGTATCTACACATAGATGGTTCTTTGTTGATATTCTTAAAGAATATTAAATGCCAAGTTTGATTTAATTGTAAAACTGTGTTTTAATGGTAGAACACAACCACCATCAGAAAATTTGCCTAAAATAGTATATTTAGTACTACATGTTATTTTTTAAAAACCCTTACTATAAGAAATAATAATATTTTCATTGCATGTATTTATTCATTTTCTTGAAAGCATGAAGGAAAACCCAATGGGTGAAATCTGAACAAACAAACATGTATTTTAAGACTTGCATTCCCAGAAATCATCATTTCATTATATCCTTTTCAATCCTTTTTCAAATATAATAAAGGCAGAGCACATTATTATATTAAATGGAATGTGTTGTGCTAAAACTCTAGTTTATAAATATTAACTCACACCCAAATGACATATGGGAATAATTTCAGTATTACACGAAAGTCACAGCTATTCATTTGTTATTTTTTCTCATTATTTTAACATTTTATGTCACCAAGTATCAGCTGAGGATCTCAAAATAAAGAACATAGGTAAATGCTACAACCCACAAGGGCACAGGCTGAAGTAAATTTCTCAGAAAAGGTATGTAGAAAGCAAAGTTCTTTAATGTCTGAAAAGGCCTTTTCTTGCCCTCATAGTTTATCTGGGTCGAAAATTATTGGTTATAATACCTTGCTTCATTATCTTCTGGTTTTCAGGCCTGCTGCTGAGGAATGTGTGCTACTCTCATTCTTGTTCCTTTCTAGTTGAGCTTCCTTTTTCCATCTTGTGGCTCTTAGGGTCTTTTCAATTTCTTATACTCAGGATTCAAGTTATTATGTCTAGTGTAGAGGGTTTTTAATTCTTTCTACTTATTTTTCAGTAAGCCTATTCAATTTGATTATGCTTTCTTCACATCTGGGAAAGTATAACATTCTTCCTTTGCTAATTTCCTATTTCCTACAATTTCCTATTTGCTTCCTAAAATTTCCTATTTGCTTTCTCTCTTTTATCTTTTCTATCTTTTCAATGTCTTGTTCTTTCTACATTTTAGGAAATTTTTGTTAATTTATATTTAAACTTGGGCTGAATTTTATTTGCACAATAATATCCATATTTCCAAGAGCCCTTTTTAAAATAGCAACTTTACTGAGATATAATGCAAAAAAAAATGTAAAATTCACCCTTAAAGTGTACAATTCGGTGGTTTTTAGTACATTCAGAGTTGTGCAATCACCATCATTATATAATTTGAGAACATTTTCATCTCCCAAGACAAAACCATAACCTAATTTCCTCATCTATGAAAAAGATATTCAACTATAAAGCCTTATAAATTTTAATGTAACCTGAATGAAATTTCAGTTCGGAGACATAACTGTATTTAGCTATATCAGGAAACTGAGAAACAACAGAAATGAAAACATTCTAGTAACTATAGCTACAACTGAACTCTAACTTTTTAAATAT